ATTTGCCTATGTAGGATCAGAAATTTGCATTCATCTTTCAGCAACCTGTTTTGTTATAAATTAATTTGAAAATCAATTTCCAGAGCAGCAATTAAGAATCGTAAGTGATCAATAATTAGAGTAATTCTCACACACGAATGAGGTTGTTTTATCTTCAAAGTAAGTAAAAAGCTTTTCAAGATGAACACCTCAAACTTGTTGAATATTTTTATTTGAATATGAAAGAAGGCTCTTCTGCTTCCCTACTCACTTCCCCTGAAATTTGCTCATTTATATCAATAAAGAATTCAATGCATACAGAATTGATCTATTAGCCATTTTCAAATTGAAGTTAGCTTTTATGGACTGCTAAGGTTTTTGTGTTCAATGGAATGACAAATGTTTTAATACTTTTGGACAGAAAAAGGAAATGCAATGTTCTTATCAGTGAATCAATCATTCACTGATTCCTCTGGGAATATAACTCTCCATTAAGAAATATGTACCAGAACAGGTGCAAAGAAAGAATGGTTGTCACACACCCTGATTATAATAATTCTAGCTTTCAAGTTGTTGTAGCCTACAAAGTGGCAAGTAATGAGCAAGGTGCTTTGTTTTCAGCTTCATGAATTTTCACCACAATGACTCTCAAAAGTGCTAAAGTATGGCTCTCACCACTCTGGAGTGAAAATGGCAGGAATTTTTCTGACTACACTCCAAGAAGAGGTTTCACTCATCCAATTGTTCACCAAGGCCTAATGTCCAACTTCCTTTCTAATAGTTACAGCACTGAGAAGTTTATACTTGATACCTTTCAGACCCACCACTTCGCTGTCATGGCAGAAATACATTGTTCTCTGTGAGCAAAGACTGCCATCTAGTGGAAATTATAAATACAGCAAAAACAATCATTCCATGGAACTAAAAATCTGCACACATTAAGAACTGTGCAACTAGATTCTTGCAATGTTACACACACACACACACACACACACACACACACACACACACACATCAGTGATGCTCATAATTAAAATACAGAACTTTCCTTTAGGTATGATTCAAGTTTTAAAAGATGCCAGTGCTTTTGAACTAATATTTTTGAAAAAATATTTGAGATATATTATATCCTCATGTATTATATAAGGGCTCATCCAATTTGTCTTTAAGGCAGTGCACTAGATTTTGCTAAGCTTCCTTTATCTAGTACTTAAATAGGTTTTTGTTAAAAGGCAAAAAGGAGAATGTAGTGACACTTTTCTAATGGAATTTCCAGGAGCATTAAATTTTGCAGCAAAAATTTATGGCAGAACTCTGAGTTTAGAAAATATTTTCATTCCCTTCCAACATTTCTATTCCACCAACCTTGTATTCCTAGACTCTGTTGTGGGCTACTCAGAGCTTGACTGAGAGCTCCTACAATATAGTTGTTCTGCCTGTCCTCCAAAATGGGGTGTCCATGTAATGCGTCTGTGCTTTCTGAGGTCGACCATACATAAAGACATCTTTGTGGTATGAGGGCAAATAGAGAAGTTTGCTCACTCTTCCCCCACAGCAACTCCTACCCCCCAGCTTGCTGAACCTAAAAGTTCCACAATTAAATGAATTCTTTGGATTTAAGGTCCTTTACTCCTATTAGCATCAAAATGGGTGTCATAGAGTACGTGTGTATACCTCAATGATCATTTTTAAAACCAAATCATTTTTCAGGTATAGAAATGATAGGGACACGTTGTGATACCAGATGCCACTGAGGAGACAGTAGGTGATCAGTGGTTCCTGAATGAACATGGGAATGAATGAAAGAATAAATTAACATGAAACAGTATCACACTGTTGCTCAGGCCATTTTAGCTGAATGTGCAGTGTGGTTTAACATAAATTTCATCCCCAAAACAATACCTGGCATGAGACCACTCTCTAAATATTTATTGACTGGATAGATGAATAGGAAGGAGTGGAATAAGTTAGAAAATTGCATCAGTGATAAGAAAAAGTAGAATCTGAGGACAGCATGCTTTTATCAAAAGCCATGTTGAGCATATTCAATCAATAAATACTTCCCTGCTCTGTGTGAAGCAGGATGGAAGATTGGTGAGTCCACATTCCGGAAAGGGGAACAGACAATCAAGGAACCACAAATTATTATAAATGGTGATAAGTGTTGTGAAGGGAAACACTTCCACTTCTACAAACATCGACCTATATAGTTTGGGGAGCAGGAGGCTGGCTGGGAAACTTGGGTGCCCATTTTGTGCCTGGATATGTTCTCATTAAGCAAATGCTGCTATAGTTTCCTTTTATTTCTACATATACCTATAATCTCAAATTCAAGAATATTATCTTTTTAAGATTTAGTTTATTTGAGAAAGAAAGCAAGAGAGAGCTCGAACAGGGTCAGAGACAGAGGGAGAAGCAGGCTCCCCACTGAGCAGGGAGCCCCCAATGCGAGGCTCATTCCCAGGACCCTGGGATCATGGCCCAAGCCCAAGGCAGATGCTTAATCAAATGAGCCACCAGGCACCCCAAGAATATTTTTTTTTCGAGATGACTAAATTTTCCCTTCCAGGTATTTAATGGTGTCTGATTCCCCAGTGCCTTTAGGTAGGCAAATAGCTAATGGTTTGCCAACATGACTTGAATATATTTGCAAATAGGCCAAGCAAGCAACTTTGATGCTGCGATTAAAGATTACAGATGTGTGGAATATGTAATGCAGTGCTGCTGGTTTCCACGAGTAGTTGTTCCTACTATTTCTGTATGTATATATGTATGTATGTATGTATGTATGTATGTATGTACTTAGTGAGCTCAGTGCCCGGTGTGGGGCTCATACTCATGATCCTGAGATCAAGAATCTCATGCTCTACTGACTGAGCCAGCCCAGTGCCCCATGAAGGCACTATTTCTCAAGTGTATTCTTCAAAACTCTAGCTCCACGAATTATTACTATATATTATTACAGAAGAAAAAAATGAAAAAAGAAGGAAAGTTAGGTAATTTGGGGAAATGCCGAATTAAACAAAATCATACAAGTGTTCCTTTCCACAGGTCTTCTTAGAGCCTTTAATATGCTTACTTCTTTGTAAATTTCTGAGAGGGTGTTTCTCAAAGTTAATGCCACAAAACCCTTTTCTTGCAGAATCTCCTTTAGGAACTAGTGTCCCGTGGAACACAACTTTTAAAAATTCTGGAAATACAAATAACTTTGAGCAGAGGCAGGAATAAGGGTGAAATGTAATCCATCAATATTCATAATCATCTTGGTAAATTCAATTAATCAAATTAATTGCACTTCTTGAGCAGCCCTCCGAAGCAACAGAGCTTTAGACAGAGCAAAATCATAAGAGAGGAGAAGTCCAAGTTATAAGGGAAGCACCAGTGCAATGTCCATCCTAGGGTGTCAGCTAAGGTGCTGGGGATGAGACCAACTCTCCCTCACAGCCCTCAGGGCTGGACTTATTCCTGGCTGACTCAGGTTGAATGTTGACCGCACTCCTAGCCATTATCTTTTAACTCACTCTTAACACAGGGATGACATGAAACAGGTAAAAAGGCAATGTACCACCCAAAGAGTTATTTACTTTTTCCGAATAGACATCGTTCTCCTATCTAAGGTTTTAAGCAGTGTCTCCCCAAATAACCCAAGACCTAGGGCAAGAGGAGAAGTAGAAGTCCATATATCCAAAGGCTATGTGCAAATTATAAGTCGAGCTAAAAACTCTTCGATAAAATATGTTCAATCCTCTTATCTTGACAAATATACCTTCATGCCCATAGGAGGTCAGGTCTGAGTTTCTAATTTGTGACTAGCTTGGAGTATTGCACTTACCTGGTGGCCCAGCGAGACGGTCCCTGCCCCACTCGCTTCCACCTCCAGCTCTGTCCTGCACAGTGAAGGATCGCCTACACGAAGGTGTACCCGCCTGAGCTCGTACATCTGAACTTGGTCCACACTCTCTGAACATCCCTCTAGACACTGCAATGCCTTTGAGGCTGTGAGATCTGCCCTCAGGAAGAAATGTGTGGGATAAATTTTCCCAGGTCCTGACGGAGCTCTCTGACCATTTAGGTGGGAAATTGGTGGGAACTCCTAGGAACCCCTGAGGACGGTGCACACTCTGGACAAGTTCATGACGTTGGCCTTGGCCATTCTCACCCTGTGAGGGGGACACACCTAGGGGAGGGCCAGAGGTAGGCTTGTCTAGGGTAAAGCCTAAAGAGTATTTGGAAATGAGAATAAAACCTCTATGAAAAATCACACTTTAAAAAAGCTGCAGACTCCGGGGGGAAAAAAAGGAGACAAAGAAGGGTATTTCTTATTTGAATTTAACTACTTCTAAAAGCCTCTGGTCAACTTTTCTTCTTGTTCTCCAAGGTAAGATTATTTTCCCCTTTGGCATTGAAAGGGAAACTACATCAGTTGTGTGAAAAACCAAAATGATGTATTTTATCAACTTCAAACTTGTCCCAGGGCTTTCTCCCACACTGTGTTAAATAATAGAAGACTTTTTAATTGAATTTCTTTGTGCGTAACATATGCTGGGCGACATTATGCCAGCATCTCGCTCTAAGCAGCAAAGCGTTCCTCATAAAAGCGTTAAGATCCAGAGCGTCATTCTGCATGGAGGGAGGGAACACAGAACTGTAGCAGCTTGAAGTCACATAAAAACAGTGCCTCTGAAATGTAATTGTAAAAACACATTGCAACAAAGTGGGGGGGTATGGATATTTAGAATTATAGAATAAAATCAAAAAAATTAAAAAAGAAGAACAGGAAGGAAGGAGGAAGCAAGAGAGGGTACAGAAGGGAGAGAGGACAGCCTGTGGCACACCTCTGTCTCTAAAGTCAGAGCAATAACGTTTTCAGTGTCCCGTCAGTCCATCTGCAGGGTAAATCTGTACGTTCATTTCCCCTTGACAGCCGCCATCCTTTAGCGGTGGGATTATAAATGGTTGTGTTGTGGGCCGAAGCAATAACGAAGTCTGCACTAACACACGGCTGTGTCCTTTTTCCCAAGGATCCTGGAGCTTCAGCAGAACGGTGACATGGACATCCTGAAACACAAATGGTGGCCAAAGAATGGCCAGTGTGACCTGTACTCCTCAGTGGACACAAAGCAGAAAGGAGGTGCCCTGGACATAAAGAGCTTTGCAGGAGTCTTTTGTATCCTGGCGGCTGGAATTGTCCTCTCCTGCTTTATAGCCATGCTGGAGACGTGGTGGAACAAGAGGAAAGGCTCCCGAGTCCCATCGAAAGAGGTACTTGATTGAGTGCTTCAGTGCTCCGTGGAGCCAACAAGTGGGTGGTCTTTCCAGGGAGGGTAATCGCCAGGAAGAGGATAATGGGTTGGGGGTGGTCCTTGTTTCTTCTTACCTGGAATATTGAAAATGAATTATTGATGAAATATAAAAATCAATAATGCCAATACCCATGACCATTTTAGGACATCCCAGATAAATGAAGAAGAGACTTGCAGTGTTTGAAAAGACTCATTTCATGTGCCATCAAGGGCTTTAAAATTCTGCCAAATCTCAGGGTAGACTTTCATTCAGTGATTTTCTTAAAGGGTGATTCCCTTGAATTCCAGTTCACAAAGATGCTTGTCATCTTATTTCAATAAGTTGCTTAACTTACAGGTAAATTATTTGTATCTCTAAGATTCAGTCTAGACTATACAATGCCATAGGAAAATAATCAAAATTTGTCTCTTTACCCCCAGTGGCTCCTTCCTTCTATCTGTATGTAGACCTATAGAAGGGATTGTATGTTTTTAGTTCTTTGATGACTCTAAGCTTAATAAATCCATAGAGTAGAATCATCCAGGATTAAATTTTTAATAAAATAAAATTAAAATTTTTTCAGAGGCCTGGAAGAATAATTGCAGAGTCACACATAATATCTCTTTGAAAGTAGCATGTGCCTTGTTTTCATCAAAAATCATGGAATTTACAAATTAGCAGAGAAAATATGAAGTTAAAATAAATTGCTTGATTAACTTATCTTTTTTCTACTGGACCAAAAAGGTGGAAAAAAATTTTTTAATAATGAAATCATATTCATTTACTAAGGTTTCACAAATTGAAATGGAAAACGACCTGAATTTGTTGTGGGATTTGATCTGCTGGATAGTTTCAAAGGACAGTTTGAAACTTTCAGTAACTAGACCTTGGCTAACTGATGGTTAGAGCAAATCCTGAGAAGATCTGTTTTAATGCGCAAATAAAAATGACTTCTCACATTCATATGAATTTTTACATGTTTATATTCTTTTAAAACAGATTTTTTTCTAAAGTAATCTGAGAATTCCTTTCTACTGCCTTGTATGCAAAATTGATCAGCAGCGTATATAAGGAAAAGCTTGGCTTACCAAAGATAAAACTTAGCTTCTTACCTATCTGGATGATCATATATTCTAAATTAGCAGAGTATGAACTAAAAAGCAGGTTTCATTGTGGTGTTTTCTTTATGGAATAAGCTTCTGGGTTCTCTATAGACAGTGATTCAATGCAAAAGACCACATTAGTGCAACATTATAGCTGAGATTTCATATTCTCAAAAATCTGGAAATTAAGGACTCCCCAAGCTCCTTATATTTTGAATTACTATATATGATATTAAAATTTTGCATTATTATATCTGTTGATGGATGACTACATTACAGTTGCTGTGGGAACCATAAAATTATATCTCTCAACCCTCTAAAGTCTCAGTGATAATATTGCATTAATGGATATTTTTTATTGGATTTTAAAATGAGAAAGGAAAAGGAAAAACAGTGATGCACATCAAAATATTTTTCACTGAGGAGCACTATAATAGCACAATGAAAAAAATACATACTCCATTCTAACTCATGACAGCTAATCCAGATCTATGAATAAATATTTTCTCTTCTTATGATTAATAGGTATTTTTAAATCCTCATGAATTTAAATTATTGAACTTGGCTATAAACATGACTGATAAACAATTTTTTTCTTGCCAGTTTTATTTTTCAAACATTGGGCTTTAATGCTCACTTCAAGTGAAAATCCTAAGGATTTATGAATTGGTTTCAACACCAGAAATCTGAGGTTTCTCTTCCTTTTCCTTTATTAAGTACCTTCTTACTAAGGCTCCATTAGCATAGCTCAAAGCATCTTTGATTTAGAGGCCGTTTAGCATAAACCTGGCCCTAGACCAAAGCTGTCATTCGCAGGTCATGACTCGAAGAGGTCTCTAAAGGTCTCACTGACCTCACAATATTGCCTCATTCAGGTACTAAATAACTTGAGTGTAATGACATCCCTCAATTAGAAATGGATTCTCTTGTGTTGAATGTTGCTCTTTCTGAATAATCTCACATCTCTCTGGCCTGAAGAGAAATAACCCTTTAACAGTCACTAACACTTCAGTGTGAACTAGCATATCGTATCACTTCCCACCAAGAATGGAAAATTAAGGTTAGGGAGGGAATAATAGAAAAGAACAGAAACCCAACTTGGAGGGAGACACCTTGAAAAAGGAGGAAGCACATGGAAAGAAGAGGTGTGGAGGGGGAGCAAGTTGTTAAAACCATATTTTTTATTTGTACAGCTTTGCCTAGGTCTGTCCCTGGTCTCATAGAAGGCAATCGCTCCCCTATTTTTGTAGTTGCATGTAACATGTAGAGAACTTTTTGTGCAAGAAAAATATTTATTATAGAAAACCTTATTTCAGAGTCATATTTGTACCCCCAGAACCTAGCACAATGCCTGGCTCATACTAGGTGCTCAATAGAGATTTGTTAAATGCATAAATCCCAAAGTTCAGTTGATTACCTATCATGTTTGCTGAACTACTTTTTTTTTTTTTTTTTTTTAACCATGGAAGCTAGTACTGATGAGAACCTTATCTTCTTTTTCTTCATCTCCAGGATGACAAGGAAATTGACCTGGAGCACCTCCATAGACGTGTAAATAGCTTGTGCACAGATGACGACAGCCCCCATAAACAGTTTTCCACCTCGTCAATTGACTTGACCCCTCTGGACATTGACACTTTGCCAACACGACAAGCACTGGAGCAAATCAGTGATTTCAGGAACACTCATATCACCACAACAACCTTTATCCCAGAGCAGATCCAGACTCTTAGCCGCACACTATCAGCTAAAGCTGCCTCTGGTTTCGCCTTTGGCAACGTGCCCGAGCACCGAACTGGCCCTTTTAGGCACAGGGCACCTAATGGGGGCTTTTTCAGGAGTCCTATAAAAACAATGTCATCTATTCCTTACCAACCAACTCCTACCCTGGGGCTCAATCTGGGTAATGACCCAGACCGAGGCACCTCCATATGAGCATCCAACAAAATCTCTTCACTGTTTCTTTCGTAGGACTCCCTTTGCGAGGAGCAACTGTAATATTGTGGGACTAACATGGATGTAACATTTAAAAAAAAAAATCAGGATTATTAGTAACAATTCTAGTTCCTTCTCTCCACCTTCTCCCTCTTCTCTCTCTCTCTTCTATTTCTTTCTCTTTTTCCCTTTCTTTCTGTACATGTCCCTCCACTTTTTTTCATTACTCAACTTGTTCCCCCAGAATATAGTGTACTAGGATCCTATTAGTCCGCTTTTCATATACTGTACTTCAAGTATAGGAAATGTGCACTGAGTATACTAAAAGTATATGCAGGATTAATTTTATGTAAAGGCCTCTTACATAACATTTCTCTATTTTTAAAACTATAATTGCAATAACTTCAGTCTTTTTACATTCTTCTGCTGCATCCATACAACGCTCCACTGCTGTTGAGTGTCCTTTAACTGTGGACCAAAGGCAACCCCTGCAGTGTTTATAAGATAACTTCAAGACCATTCAGGCCACATAATATGAGAATGCAATTTTGTAGGATTACAAAAAAAGCCATTAATATGCCAGTCAAGACTACAGTTAAAACTACTCTCGCACTGCAACAGTGCATATGACCTTTATGTGATTGTACAGTATTAAAAGTTTTTTCTTATGTACAGTAAACTTTATCATATGGCAGAAGCCTCTATTGTGTTAAATAAATTAGTATCTCATCTATATATACATATATATGCACTTATATAATGTGTATATATATTGAAGGGCGGCCATTGCTATTGCAATTCATTTAATAAAGCTTTAGTTTAAAAAAAAAAAAGCATTGTATACAGGAACTATGTATAGGGCAGGGGGTCTTTTCAGTTAGAAAAGGCAGGTTGCTTTAATGTTCTTCTGACTCGCATTGTTTGCCAACAGAGAATATTTTATACTTTTGTTATTAAAACATCCAGGGCGATTTAATATTTGTTCCTAGATGTAACTCCTTTGAGTAGGTTTTGCATTTGTTACTCAGCAGTGTATAAAGCTAACCTTGATAATTTTACTTTTAATGAATTATCTAAGTGGAAAATGCTATTAGCCGGACCACGTCCACAGCAGCACATAGAGTGAGCCCTAGAAGAGTTGAAACGTAGATCGTTGAAGGTTAATAAATTCTCTTCCAAAGCAGAAAGCCAATCGATACAACTGTAGTTGGGGAGAGGTGGGAGCCCTTAAGAAATATTGATGTGGCCTTAATTACTGTCCTACATTACCCTAAAGAAGAAAATGTTATGACCATACTGGGCTCTTGACTTAACCCTCCCCCCCTTTTTATTCAGTTCTATTTGGAGGAGTTATGTATTTTTTACATTCGTGCCAAGTGTATAGGAGGGCGACAGCAAACACGGTGGCTCTTTGTGCACAACCCTTTTAAAGTAGCATTCTTACCTATTAGAAATAGAGAATGAACTTTGTTTGTAACCCTTACATTAAAATGCGGTAAGTAGGAAGCAAGAACTTATCCTGTGTTTTCACGCAGCCATACACTTATTTTAATCTAATTCATTCTGTAGCTAGGATTGATATAGGAATCAACCTATGTGATTTGCTTTAGGAGAAATTAAAAGGTATATTCTTAAGGTATATTATATTTTGATGCTAATTCTGTTCTGGGGAGCATCTTGTACTGTCACTGTTTTTGTACTAAATCTTCAAATATTGTCTACTGTGTAAGGCAGAAAATTTTCTTATCATACAAAAACCATTTTGTTTCCAGGGTAACAAGTACCTAAGTGCATGCACGACTTGTTTTCCCTTGTAACACTCATGATCTCATTCACAACTCTGATTTTAAAACAAAAAAAAAAAAAAAATTCTTTACAACAAGCTATATAGGGACATACCAGATGTTGCCGTGATTTTAGCTATCAACAAACTGTTAACCATGTACAATATTTAAAATAGGCCTATTTTGATGTATTGCCTATTATACAAATACACAAAACACTTTTTGGAGGCCTCAGTTATGAGTGGCAGAGCTTTCTGTGTATAATTTGTCTAAATAATTTGTCTAATAAAAATGTTTTCTAAACTTGCTCTCATACCATTGAAGTCTTAACTATAAAATTTGACAGTGCTTACTCTCTCACAGCACGAACTGAATTTTTCTAAAAATTTATCTTGAGTTAAGTAAAGCATGAAACACATGACGTTTTACTAGCAGAACTATGCCAAAAGGAGTGGCTCTCTAAAAACAGTACTGTGTGTGTCTTAAACCAATGAAAGACTGCCTTTCTGCTCTTTGAAACAACTGGAACCAACAATATATTTGTTTTGCTTCACATATATTTCTATTTGTGATGTCTCTGTGAGCACTTTTTTTGGGAGAGAGTTATCCTGATTCATTTAAACAATGCAACCATGATAAGGATAAAAGGGTGATGGTTTGTTACATCAAAGGAAGGAAGGAAGGAAAAGAAAGAGAGAGAAAGAAAGAAGGAAAGAAAGGAAGAAAAAGAAAGAAAGGAAGGAAGAAAGAAAGGAAGAAAATTAAGTGTATTTAAACTTAGAATTTATGTATTAATGATTGTTTTGTTATTAGGGAAATATTTGTCATGTTGAATCTATTAATTTGAAAATTAATGACTTCAAGATTATTTCTAATACAGTGTTATTTTCCTCATTTGAGCAACAATATTTTTGTCTAGCATTTAACTCACTCAGTGAATATATATCTGAAAATATATTTAATTAGATTAAAATCTTTGCTGCTCTAAAATTCTATTAAAAGTGATTTTTTTTTTAGATGTTGGAACTATGAGGAACTATACAGATCTAGACTGTCTCTGGTTTTGCAAATAAGAGACTATAAGATGCTTGCCCAGATGTTTGACAATCTAAGACTTAAAACTGGGTCCTTTTTAATTATTATTATTATCTAACTCTGCCATGCTTCAGTCATATCCACAGGTCCTCATGGGTTTAAGTGCAGGGATGGCTCAGGGACAATGCCTCCATCCAGTCCCCTCCCCAAGCCTAGGCTGCAAATCTCTAGGAACCTTCCCTCCTGTCTGCGGCCAAGTACAGCACGTGAATCAACTTCTCAGGCTACTTCCCCAATGTCAGAGCGTGGGGCAGACCTCAGGCCAGATCCTGCTTCTCTCTAGTGCTACTTCCTTTAGCCTATCATTGGCCTGCTCGCACCACTTACACCAACCTTGCTATTTCGAAACCAGACAAATACCTTATATCCATGTAATTTTATTCTACACAGATGTTGAAATTTTTCCTTTAGCGAATCATTAAGAGAACTGGTTGTCACTGGTTACCACATCAGAACTTGTGCACAGGTTTGACTCAGTCATACCTTAGAAAATTGTAAAACCTCCTTTCTTCCCTCATGCACATCAAGCTACATACAGGCAATTTGTTGCTTTCATAATTATGTTCTTTTTATCTCTTTTAATTTGGGATTGGTTGTCAACTGAATAAATACTTTAAAAAATAGACCTTGCTAAATGGTACTTTGGTTCATCAATTAAAAAGAAAAAAAAGGATGAGACGATCACTTAGCCTACCTAATACCTTCCAAGCCACACGGATAACAAACTATTAGTATTTTATAATCAGAAATTTGGAGTGGAGAAACACATTTGGGACTATGAGCATAGTAAATAAGGCAGAGCTAAGAACTTTCATACTGGTAAACATGGGATTTATGCTTTTATATACATCTCCCGATAACTGACAAAATATAATGATCTCACTAAAAACTGACTTCTTTCTAGAATGTTTTTATTTCTAAAAACAAATCCTATTTCCAACCTTTGTGATCAGATATTAATAAATGACTAACAAATGCGGCCATAGATATCATTTCAACAAACTGTAGTAAATAGCGTCTCATCAAGTAGCATATGAGCTCCCTTGGATGCAAACGACTTACCTAGCCTTGAAAAATCAGGAAATAAAGTTTGCTATATTTGACAGACTTAATTCTATCATTTGTTGATTTATTTATTATTTTATTTTCTTAGTGTTCGCTCAAAACCCATTTTGTGGAAGACACTGTGTTAAGCAGTCACACACGGCGCAGATGGACACATGTGCTTAGAAATGGGTCTGGGTGTGTTCCAGTACCCAACTCTTTCCTTGTCCCACATCAACACACAAGATACAGAGGCCACTAACAGACTTTCTGAGGAGGTGGAATGAGACACCCCAAGACCCTGCAGTCCTCTTTGGCCTTGGCCACTCCAAGTCCCTGGGGCAATCCCTCCCAGTAGTTCTCGTGGGCTAATAGAATCTACCTGCTTTGACCCAGATCACCTCCACAAAGAAGACTTGGAGATCTCCCAAGATGGCAGACCATGAAATCTTTTCAGAAATGTGAAAATTCCCATAAGCTCCAGGCAAACTCCTAACCAACCCCTCCTCCTTACCAACAACTGCATACCTTTCAGAGACGTATGCCTACCCTCAGATATCCATGTCAGGATGATATGGACCACAAGAACTCATTTTCTATCCCTGCAGGTCTAATCACTTGTGATAGAGCTCCTCAGTGTTTAAATTTGCTTCAAAGGGACTACACAGTGAATCCCTTTTAGGTGATGTTTCAACTTGTATAAACTTTTATTTATATTGCAACTAAGATCCCTGGCCACCTTTCCTGTCACCTAAGATGCAGGAGACAGTGTGACCTATGAGCCTGATGAGTATATATTAGGGTTTTTACAGGAAGACAAGCCAGGAAAACAGCCTCCAACCCACACACACACTTCCAGAAGAGTAGAAACTTCATGGTTTTGCTCCCTGTGTAGAGATCCAAAGAGGCACAGAACAATTACAGCACATAATGATTCCCCCTCCATGAGGATAGAAACGGACTAAAGGAGCAGTCGCTTGTTTTCTCACCTGAATTTCCCAAATTTCCCTGGTTTCAATCTTTCTCATTTGTTTTATTGCCATGTAATCTTAGTAACAGAGCAAAAATTGTTGAAATTTCAGAATTTTTTTTCATTATCTAAAAGCTCTTCCTGGACTTGTTATTACACACAAGATAGGACCAAGTGTCACCTCTTGACTAAGTTTGCACACTTCCTAGAATTTCCTCAGAGTGGGGGGAAAAAACCGGTTGTGCTATTTGGACATGTCATTACTTATCCTATG